GTCTTTGGCGCAGTGGTGGTCGGGGGAGCTGTGGTCTTTGGCGCAGTAGTCGCCGGCTCAGTGGTTGCTGGGGCGGTTATGACCGGGGCTGAGACACTCGTGGCCGGGGCAGTTGTGGCCGGGGCGGTAGTCTTCGGCGCAGCTGTAGCCGGGGCAGTTGTAACCGGGGCAGTAGTGACCGGGGCGGTTATGGCCGGGGCAGTAGTGATCGGCGCAGCAGTGACCGGGGCAGTTGTGGCCGGGGCGGTTGTAGCCGGGGCACTGGTCGCCAGGGCAGTCGTAACCGGCGCAATAGTTGCCTGGGCGGTTGTGGCCGGGGCAGTAGTCTTTGGCGCAGCGGTGGCCGGGGCGGTTGTGGCCGCGGCAGGGGTAGTAATCACAGTTGCGGTCGTGACCGGGGCGGTCGGGGGACGGGGAAGGGCTCTTCGGGGGCGGTGTGGATGGCAACGGCACTAGCTTCGGGCCCTGCGCAAGAGGCGGGGCCTCGGGGACCCCCGGATAGAAAAGCGGTAAACCAGCTGCACCGCCTCCTGTCAACGGTATAGGCAGGCTAGGGGTCGGGAAAACCGGTCCGATCGGGGGGGGAGTAAGGGTGGCCGGGGGAGTGATGGCCAGGGTAGTTGTGACGGGGGGGGCCGTGACCGGGGTCGTTATAGCCGGGGGGGTGATGATTGGAGGAGTCGTGGTTGTGGCCGGGGGAATGACAATCGGGGGGGTGCTCACCGGTGGAGTCACCACCCCCCCAACCGGCGGCGTAGTGACCGGGGGGGTCTTCGCAGGCAAAGTTACCACCCCCCCAGCCGGTGGAGTAGTGACTGGGGGAGTGTTCACGGGCAACAAGCGGGGACAAAAGATCGTCACAGCAATGACGACCGGGGCCGCAGTTACACTGGGGTTGGCGCTCTGCAGCGAGGCGAATGTGAATACCCCGGGTGCGCCCGGGAGGGTGACGGTGCTTGCCGCGAACGGGTCGGTGGTGCTGCTGATGAAGAGTCCGTCCACGCCGGGCGGACTGGGCGGAACGAGCGTGGGCGGAAGGGGGGTAACGAGAATACCCCCCGTGCGCGGATTTCTCTGCAAGCTAAGGAGAGTATGAGTGAAGTATCAGCGATGAAGGCAAAAAGAGAGAAGGGCGCGGTCCACACGTTGTTCTTGTTTGAGTTATGAGCAACTAATAATGAACAGTCAGGTAGACTTACAGAAAATCTGATTGCATCGCATCATACATTCTTGATCGACAAAGCGTGCTTTTGCGGTAGAAGAGCCGTCTTTTGCATCCGTGCGACGGCTACAGAAGTGGAAGGTTGAAGTATATCTAGATCTGAGTTTCGAGAGCCCAATAGATAGGTTGCAGAGGGGAAGAAATACATCAAAAGTTTCTTCCAAAACGGAGGCCTCTAACTCGTCTGATCTCTCCAAAAGGACTCAAAAGCGCTTGATAGGAGACATGCAAAGCCACCTCGGACATATCAAAAGCAATCAAACCAAGTAAACTCGGATCTGTGGCTGCATCCAAGCGGAAGGACAAGAAGTACGCGACATTGTCGAAGTTACAAGTTCAGAATATTGACTAGCTTGATACACCGCCAGCAAAGCGATGACTCGAACTTAAGCAATCGAGCTACCGGCGTCGAAGCCATAACTTCGGATCCGGAACGAATATATTAACGGCCAGGAAAAGCGCGATTGAACAACTTGAAGCAATCGACCCACCGAAGGAAACGGCGAAGTGTTGATCAGCAGCAGATTGTTTTGCGCGCCGCCGGGCGGTAGGTTGAACGTCGCGGGCGCGGCCGCGAGCGCGGCTCCGTTGGGCTGGAAGATGCGCCAGAAATCGCCGTTTGTTGTGTTGCTCGCTAACGTGATTCCAACCGGCGAGAAGCAGCTGTTGACCAGGTTGACCACGCGGTTCGGGCGGGCCCAGTTATGGGTAACGGGGCTGCAAACGAGCAGATTCAGTGTCGCTGTTGGCGAAGAATCATAGCCGCTCGGCACATTTTTGGATCTGGTGGAATCCAAGGCTCTGAGTCGGGCCCTTGTGAAGTTTTATCGGATTGATCACGATAGTAGAACGGCTTCGCAGATGAATGTATTCTCACTGAAGTTGGGTAGAGTCCGGCTGGGGTGCTTGACCGTTTACGAAGCGCTTGAGGAGGTGATTAACAGGTTCTTCAGGATGTAATCCTTCGAATAGGCGACTTGTAGTGGGCCGGTTCTATAAATTGGACCGTACCTGACGTCGGAGTTGAAGAGGGAGTCACTACGCCAGAAGGCAGAGGGGGTGTCGGCAAAGGTACGGCCACTGCAAAAGGTTTATCAGAGACGGGCGTAAATCTTAGTTGAAAGCGAGCATGTCGAAGAACTCGCACTTGTTTGCCAGAGATCGACAAGCGAGTCGACTGACGACTTTAGTAACAGAGATTGACATGGTGGCTGCTCTATCCTTGTTCCAATTCCATTCATACGTCATTGTCAGTCATGATTTGAAAGCAACTCAATACAATGATCTGACTCTTTGGTTTCATCTAATGTCCGATTCAGCATGGGTAGCGCCTGGCTAGCGTGAATAAAATACAGCCGGTCTCATTCGGTTGGATAGGTTCTAAGGTGCTTAATGAACACCGTTCAACATGCAGGAGACAACTCTGCGATGCCATAGGCATGTCAGTCAGAGTGATGAGTACTGTGTGTGTGCTGGAGAGACGGGTTTTGCTTTACTTTAGTACTTTTAACAGATTATCACGGATGAGAACTCATATTCTGAATAATCCGCTGCGATACGCTTCCTACTTTCTGACTTTTAGGGGCGTAACTGGTGGCAGATTGGGACCCGGGAGGACACAAAAGAAGCAATCCTTCTTCAGGGGTTGAACATGGGTAAGGGTGCGGAGCACGTTGACTTGGGGTTTAGGATTCTCATTTGTTTCAGCTCGAGGAACTCAACCCAATGCAAAATCGAGATTATCACACCAACCTCGAAGCCCGTAATCCACACACTGGGGACCCCGTGTAGTTAGCGGAAAGCTCGGGCAGACTCAGCCGGGGCAACAGAGTAGGTACAAGGTTCGGACGGGGGGAGGCACAGCTGGAGCGGGGATGACGTCACAGGTGACGTCCTGGGTATCACTGGGACACTGAACCGCTGCGGGTGGAAAGGTCGGACGCTTCTATTCAAAGCCCTTGCGTACTACTAGGCTAGCAAAGGCATGCGACGGATCAGCTGTTTAGTGAGACGGGTAATGTCGAGAGGCATAGGAGATGCGGGCACTTTTCACGTGAGATGGGAGGAAACTAAGCTCTTGGAAAGAGAGGAGGCCGCGAAATATTGTGTTCAAGGACTTTGTGGAAGCGGTGTTTGCTGCTGATTACACTCTCTGCAGCACATCAGCGACGAAATCTTTCGGGGTTCAGTTCGGATTGAAGGAGGGCCAAATTATAGAAGCTCTTGTTATCATGCTCTCTTTACGTCCAGCAATCAAATACCAATTTCTGAGAATATGATCCCCCTGCGTGCGGAGGCAGCATTCCAAAGAGCGAAGATGCTTACTATTACTATAAGGAGGCCTAATTTCACCCTCAGCTACAGCAATCGTAGAGTTTATTGAGATCTTGAGATGAGAAGTGCCATGAAAGGAGGTTAAGGAGAGGTTAAGCAACATATAGAACCTGTCTCGATGTTGAGAACCGTGTTCGACAACTTCAACCTCTTTTCAATCCAGAACGAAACTCACATTGCAGAAGCTTGCGGCTGGTGGAATTAAGGCTGGCCGACTCTAAGCCCTCAAAGGGCAGCTGAGCCTCCCCGGCGTGGGGGGGCGTGCCGCGACCGGCAAATGCCTGCAGGAAATACTTGCGTTTAAGGAGACTTTTCTGAGTTCGAGAGAGTGACTTCTACGAAAAGAGTCTCTTACAGCTGCTCTAGAATCAAGTTTCTGCTTCATGACAGGCTACTTTCACGAATGTAGCTCCTAATTCTGTTTTAAGGGAAAGCTTCTGCTTCTTGTCAGGGCAACCCAGGCTGGCTGATGATCGGTTGCTCTTTTCTGAGTACTAAAAGGATCGCCCGTCAAAATACTTCAGCTCTGTCTCTCTTGCTTCCAAGCAAGCCCAACCGCGCACATATCAAATCTCTGTGATTCTTGATAGTTTCAGCATTCTTGCTTGAATAGAGAAGCAAGTACTGTTTGCACGTCAACCAGACGTGCAATTCTGGAATTGGCTTACGGCAAACAAAACGCGAACGATTGGGTCCATGATCTTTGACGACCCTCACCTGATCGCAAGTAAAGGCCAGCACGAGCCCCACAAGAAAGAACGGCCCCCTGCAAGCGAAACCCATCTTTTCGCGCACACAGCAATCTTTTTGCCCGGAACGTTCGCCAGAACTCACATAGGCGACAGAGGTCTGGGTTGGAAAGCGCTGCTCGTGTGAAACCTTTACACGGGATTGCGCTCGACTGCGTGCTCATCAGACTCTGTACTTTTGTAGAAAAGTAAAAGTAGGGCGCTCAAAACGACTCAAAGGCTGCATAACGTTCATTCTCTACCACAGAGCTTTATACAAGTCATTCTGTCTTCTTTTCGCCCTTAGTTTGACCAGCCGGACTATTGAAAAGAAGGACGACTTGGCTAGAACGTCCGATGTTGGAACCGATGCGTCACGTACTGATCCCGTCGCTCAGCCTGTTGCGAAGGACGGCCGGGCATCTATCGGTGGAAGCAGTAGTTTCAAGGTAGTCCAGTTGAGGGTCTCGTTGCAGTTCTAGCTTTCTCCAGGTGATTCAAACCAAAAGTGCTCAACCCCACACTCCCGCTGCAACGAAACTAGCACTCCGTGTCTCGGGATGTTGGAAGTGGCTCGGATCACTCGGAAAAGTCGATCTTTTAACGGATTTCTCGGCTGAACTTGCACTGCTTCTCGCCCGTCCATTTTGGCATCAAACGGGCTGAAGTTTGAAAGTTATGCGAGCAGGCACCCTCGCCTTAGGAAAGCGCCGCTACAGATCCCTGTTGCGGAGCGTCGAGTCCTCAGACAGTGGGCGAATTTCAGGGGCGCCCATCGAGCCAGCTGTCAAACGAACAAAGCGAACTCGGTACCGTAACCCGCCATCAAGATCAAGATCAAGATCAACGCGGTCCAAGGCCCGCATTGAGCTAGATGGTTCGAACCTCGTTATGAGATCCGACCTTTCCGTTGACCAGTTCCTCCGAGAGTCGAGACCAGGTGTCCTCTCTTTTCTTCTTCTAGCAGACGTCATTCATTGCCAATCTCGAGTGACTTTACCACCAAGATTCTCGGGGACGAGCTCCATGCGCGCGCGGTAGTTCCGGAAGCTTGCCCTGAACATCCACGTCCGTCGCAAAGCCAAAGTAATCCTTACTCTGTCAAATACTCGGACCTTGCATCACGGCTTGAAGCTTCTGTTCGATCTCTTATCATCGATGATATCCATGACGGTATACAAACACCAATTAAGGTTCTCTTGCATGACGTAAGCTAACTAGTAAACTATGCATGCGAGTGACCCCAGCCTGACATTCGTCGCGCTGCTGTCCCGGTAATTTCAGGACTCATTATTGAACATGTTAGAGGCGCAATAACAGTTGTGTTGGACATACATACTGATAGTCGATTAACGTGACCATTTACTTTTGGTGCAAAAGCACAATTAGGTTTTTGTCCGTTGTACAAGCCTAGGGCGGCGCGAAAGCACATTTCCTCGATCAAGATCCAACCGTCGACTGCATGTTGGATAAACACTTGCTGCGCGTAGACTCAGTGCGCGGCCTGGTCGTGATCCGAGAGGATCTGGCGACACGTGTACTTGTAAAAAATTATACGGGTCATGTGCATGGCGGCCGCGCCAAATCCTTGCAGCAAGCTCGCAGATGGAATCGAACGGCATGCATGACGGTATAAACACGGCTTAGTGTCGGAGATACGTGCAAAGCACGTCGGACAGATGATTGCACCAACCATGGGGGGCTCGGCTAACCTGCAAGTGCCCAGAATTACCTTCGTGCTATGACATACCGTAAGTTTTAGCTAGCTAGCCTGCTGCTGATCCGTTTGTATCTTATCGTCACGCCCAACGACAGCTCACCTAGCATAACAAAGTCAAAGCTCGGCCCAACACATGCCCTATCATTAGTTAGTAGCTACAGAGGATCAACGCATCTGTACAGCTTTGTGTATCCGACTTTTGACCAAGTGTGCGCTCCGTGTTCATCGTTGGCCTCGCGCACAGCAGTAACTTCTAGCGAGCGTCATTCTCTAGATCACTTTCGCCTTCTTCTCGGTCTTGCGCCAAAACGCTTTTCTCTGCTTGATCGCGCGCTCAACGCAGCTGCGCACATCTACTCTCAACTCCATTGCGTTGAATAGCTTCACCGCATCGTCCATTTCGCGCACCTCTTTCCTCAACCTCGTGCGGTTATGGTGCAAAATCGCGGCCACGCAAAACACGCACAACTCGTCCTCGCACCCCCCCCCTTCCCCGCCCTCCTCCTTTCCCCCCTCGGCGAGCCCCGAATCCCTTACCCCCCCGAAAAGCGCCTCTTCTGCTCCGCCCTTTTCCAGATCAAAGTCCGCCGCCCAGAGCATCTCCCAAAGCGTGAGCACCTGACTGAAACTAAGCTCTCGTCGAAACATTACGAGAAGGATGCGGAACGCGAAGAGAAAGTTGTCGGCTTCTGCGGCGCGCAAGTGCTCCCCGACCGTCGGATCGGTGGCCGCGACAATCTCGCGCAGGCGGTCCAGCTGGCGGAGCACGCCCACGGGGCCCCGCATGCCGAAGTTGTGGCGCATGCGGCGCATCAGCCGGGCGAAGCACCAAAACGCGTCCGCATCATCCTGCACGATATGGGGTTAAGAGTCAAAGATATAAACTTCAGAACTTCTAAGAATCAAAAAGATTTTGGGTCAAGCAAGCGTAGTGCGCCCACGGCGGCGCGCTTGCCGAAGTTGTGGCGCACGCGGCGCATGAGCCGGGCGAAGCACCAAAAGGCGTCGGCGTCATCCTGCAAAGATTTTGAAGGGTTTCAGGTTGTGAGTGTAGGGTCTTGGATCATAAAGAGTCCTGCCGGAGCACGCCCGCAAATACGGGCATGCCGAAGTTGTGACGCACGCGGCGCATGAGCGGGGCAAAGCACCCGAACGCGTCCGCATCATCCTGCACAGAGGTTTACGGAGGGATCGGAGCAAATTTTGAGAAGCACTGTTGAGTCGTTCTCGCGATTGACCCAAAAGGGAGACGAACCTCTTATATCGACCTGAGTCGAAAATGCAAAGAAGCGGCAGGCGGGCCAGAACGGAGAGGAGAAAGATGATGAGTAAGACACGTCGGGGAAGGCACTTCAATGAGCACCGCAAGGAGCGACAGCGGGTAACTCTGGCAGCAGCGAATTCAGAGAATTTTCATTTGGAGGAATCAAATGAAAGTAAGATTTTCTCCTGGTAAACAATGGAGAAGAACTACCTCAAAGCACCACGTATTTCGAAGCAGGTCGCTCATCCTCGGCAGTAGCCCACCTCCAAATCAGAGTCGACCCTTTTACGGAGTCGCAGGATCGGACAAAAAGGGGAAGCATTATTCACATCGAAAAAGGAGAGACACATACCTCGAAGAGCACGACGAAGGGCGACAGCAGGTCGCTCATCCCCTGGCAGTAGCCGACCTCCGGATCCAGCCACGCGTACACCGCCAGAATGTCCGCCATGCGCGCCACGTTGCTGGTGACGTCATAGAACTCAAGGTTCCGATCCGTCCGCACGACGTCGACAACGATCCGGTGCAGCGTCCACAGCCACTCGGCGGCTTTCTCGGCTTCGGGCCCTGTCAGCCGATCTTCTGCACTTTCCGCCCTTGAAAATCCAGCAGGTGTCATGTTTAAAGGGCCCTCTGGCCGCTCGGGGCTCTCCCCCGAGGCTCCCCCATACAGCCGGCGCTTGTTCCGCGTCACGACCCGGGGGGCTTTTTGCCCCGGGATTCCACTCCCCTGCGCCGTCTTCCTGATGGTTAAACCGGCAGGGGTTACGCTAGCCCAGCCGAGACTGACAAAGGGCTGAGCGGCGGAAGTGTGAACGGGCCCCTGCCCCAGCGCGGTCAGCGAACTCCCGTCCTCCACCACTAGCAGCAGTTCGGCGGGCCCGTTCACACCCCGCTTCTTGGGCCCATTCACACCCTGCTCCGCTTTACCCGAAGAAAGCTGGGGAGCGTCCGCACTACTAGTTGCGGAATCGTCCGCAATCTGCGATGCTTCCAAGTTTTGGGGGTGGCTCACAGATCCTGCTTCCGGGATGTGCGAGTGGAGTGGCCGGCTTTCGCGCACCACCACCGGTTCCAGCAAGCCGCTGTTCACACCTTCCCCCAACTCATGCCTCGCGCTTCCTCCCTCTGACGACTCTCCTCCAACCTGACTGTCCCCTGCGTTCTCACCCCCCCTTTCCGAGGGCCCAACATTAGGCTTGACCGTACTTACACTGTCCGCAGTGCTTGGCTCAATCACCGGCACCGCCTCGCTCTGCCCCTCTAATGTTGTCGAACCCGTCCCCTCACTTACACTAAGCCCCTCTTTTCTAGCGTTCCAATCGCTTGGTCTCGGGGGAAGTCTATTCACACTCCGGGCGCTGCCCCTTGAGAGCGCTGGCGACGCAGAGGCGCTCCTTGCCAGCCGCTCTGGTGTGAAAAAGCCCTCGTCAGGGGTCGCATAAGCGGCCGACATCGGCGTCAAAAACGCCGACAGGCTCCGGTCCGGTGTGAAAAACCGCTCGTCGGTTGAGAACGTCGTGAAGTGAGATCCTGGCGTGCCGTATCCCGCAACCGAGTCGTCGTCCCCTGGGTTTGTGTCCGAGTTAACGCTAACCGCAGAAGTTAGGATAACTGCTGCACTCCTGCTTCTCCCCAGGGGGCCTGGCTCTGGGGCAAGCCCGTCCAAGGAAGCCCCCCGATAAAGTACCCCGCCGGCCGTCTTTTCAGATGCTGTCGTCAGCACCGGCGCCTTATTTTCGACAGGAGCAACTGCGGACCACAGCTCCGCTCCTTCCCCTCCAGAAGAGCCAGCTGCTGACGTCAGCACTGCAGCTCCATCCTCTGCCGCCCCACCCGCCTCCCCTTCTCCTGCTGACGTCAGCACCGCCCCCCCTTTTGCAGCGCCTGCCGCTAACTTTTGCTCTGGTCCGTCACTCCCATTTCGGCCGTCCAGTGACGACGCAACCACCCCGTCGCTCTCCCCTCGCCCCGCTGCTGACGTCAGCATGTCCTCCTTCTGACTCGGTCCTGACAGACTCCGTCCTTCCGACCCGTCCCGTAGCAACGCCGCCGAGAGCACCGACTTCGCCGCCATTTCTTTCCCCAGCTTGGCGCCCTTGGGCCGTTTCGAAAATGACGCCTGCACCTCGAGCGCCTCGTCCTGCGCCCTCCGTTCGAGCTCGGCGACCATCGTCTTAACCCGGCCCAAACCGGCTGGTTTAGGGGGTAACGAACTTGACCCTTGGTTCTCTTGCTGCCCGTTTTCGACGAGTGGTTCGTTTCCGGGACCTTTCGCAACCACAATTGCCGGCTCCGCCCCTGCATGAAACGGCCGTTCTAAAGTACGGCCTCCGATGTTCTCTTCCGTAAGTGCTGACCCGGACGTCGTTGCTGGGGTTATTTCTGAGGCTTGCGCCGGGGTTAAGTCTGGGGTTACTTCCGGAACCACTTCTGGAACCACTTCCGGAGTGATCTCCGGAGCTATTTCGCAAGTTTCTTTACAAGTCATTTCCGGGGCTTGTTGCGGGACTGACTCCGGGACTCTGTCTATGTTCCGGCCTGGCGTCAGTTCTGGGGTTATTTCCGGGGTTATCTCCCGAGTCTTCTCTATGTTAATATCAAACATTTCCCTAACCGAAGTCCCCTCCTCAGCAGCTGTGCCTGCGACACTCTCCTTCGTTGTCCCGCCCCCCCCCGTCTGCGAGCCAACTTCTGCAACAGTTTCGTCCACGTACCATTCGAGCCACACATCGAGCGCCGGCTGTGCTTCATACAACCCGTCCTTTGCATTCCGTTCGGCGATTGCAAACAGGAAGTTTGCCCCCCAGCCTAGTTCGTTTGCCGCGCGGCTGCCGATCCTGACCCGTTCCAGACTCCTCCGGGGAGGCCTCGGCAACTGCAAACAAATAGAGAATGTCAAGTGAGAACGATCAAGAAAGCACAGAAGGGAGCGCAAGGTAATGAGAAACCTCTCGAAAAGGTCCAGTGATAAAAGCGCCTCAAGTGGACGAGTGGACAACCTTAAACATGGCCTCTTCAAGCAGGGTTTCAAGCGTTGGACAATGTTGCAACCAATCTTGGGCTTCCGTAAGAAACCGTAGATTGATAGCGGGGATGTCTTATTGCTGAGCTGATGAAAAAGGGCATAGCGAGTGCGCAGAAGGACTACCAGAATTGTCTTCCAATTGTTGTTTGCGCTGCTTGATCCATTTTATCAACGGAAACAAAACTGAAAGTGAGCCTAGAGCATCCACCACGAGCTCTCCTGATGCTCGAAATTTTCGAGAGGAATCTTCGAAAGGAAAAACCCTGGACACAATTCCCTCCTTTGGTCTTCGGTCTCTGATAACTTACGATCATATCATCGAAGGTACTGACCCCTCCTAATCAAGCCTTGGTGAAGCGACTCCGCGGTAGGAATGCTCACCTCCTTGCTTTCCCCATCGTTCTGTCCCTCCGCCTCGCTTTCCCTGGGGAATGACGCAACAGTGCCACTGACAATCCCGGGTGACGTGCTGGTCCGCGCGTCCAGAATGCGGGAATCGTTCACTGCATATGCCAGCTTTCCGCTCCCGATGCCAGGGTGGATTTGCCGGCACTGGTCCAAGACCTCCGCGTACAGCAGCCTGCGAACGTCAGCCACGAGAACGTCAGATGCAACGAGACGGAGACACAGAATCTGGGTCTTCGCAAGTGACTGGGAGTGGGTGCCGAGCTGCTTCTCCAGTTTCTTCTTTGAACTTGACTGATTCGTGAGTGAAAGAATCTATTGTTTTCTTTGATCATGGCTGAATCGTGTATGAAAGACCCATGGACATCACGTGACAGGACTCCTGAGTCTGTTATTGACTTGCTTTTCGGTTGTTTGCACAAGACTATCTGAATCCAAGGCAGCCAGAAACGGGGTCCGCTTCCGAGGGGCAGGCAGTCTTCCATGAGTGGGTTTAGGGGGAAGAATCTTCTGCGATGAAGCAAGTGGACATGTGCCATGTCAAAACGCTTTGATCTCAAGGCTGGGACGCAAAAAAGTGGACGGGATGCTGCAATAAGCTACACCATCGGAACTGAGGCATCTTGAGTTCCTTGCACCTCACCTTACTCGTCTTATCTTCTGTGTCATTGCAGAGGCGCATCCAACCACCGTTCGGCTATGAAGGGCCAACACACCATTGAGTGTTGCAGGCCTTAACATTTGAAAAATAGGATGAATGTAAGTGAAAAAGTAATGTTATTGTCCAGCACTAACCTCCTCTTGCTCCGCAGAGCCCTCCGGTCCTCTGCCGTGCTGTTCACCGGCCAAACTCCAAGCAGCAGCTCCCAGACCTCTGGTCGGATGCTCGGGTTCACTCCCCCTCGTTGCACCTGGTTCAAACTGGAAATCTTAGCATTGACTTTAACCAGTATATTGAAAACTCTAGGAATCCCTATGTGACTTTGCTCGGTGAATTGTCTCTGCTGGCGATTTTTAGAATTTCAATCTACTTGCAGCCCCCACAATGCTGAGGATCCTCGTAAGAAACACTTTCCTTCTTGGTAAATCTGCTGCATTCACCTGGTGTCACAGAAGACGAAACAAAGGACAGACGAGCTCATTCCACAGACACTCCTCAAGTCCCACCCCCAACCAGCGGCCCTGGTAAGGCAGGCCCAGCTGATTTACAAGAGGCGACTGACACCACTTATTCGGTCCCACCTTGCCAAGCAGCTTTGCAACATGAGTGGGGCGCCCCTCGGTGTCAAAGGCCTTTCTCCAAGCTTTGGCCGTCAGCCCCTTCGACCGCCGCAGTCTCCGTCGGGCGGGGATGACGATCAGTTGCTTGGTCTCTCCGGGAATCACGTCTGAAATGTTGTCCTCTCCCGGCATGAAACCCCCGTCATTTGCGCTGCTAGAGGGACGCCCGCAGAAGAGACTGGCCATGATTCCAACCGGTTTGCAGCCGCAGTCAGGGAAAAGTTTTGCTCGTCACGTTGACGCGCACACCCTTACGTGCAGCATGGTGCTCAAAGTACACAGGGCGGTATCAGGTCTCTCTTAGCATTGTGTCTGCATCTGCAACCTTTCATGGCGTCAGTCGGGGCGTCAGTCGGGGCGCTCTCCAGATTGCTGGGGCCCTCGTTTTGCTGCTTTGCATGTGCTGACTTGTCAAGGTACACTCGATCAGCAAAGCGGTTTGTACAAACCTAGAATACAAACCCGGAATCCCTGCACTGCATCGGACCGCGCAACGCGCGCACTGTGTCGTGGGCGGTGACTCGCCGCGGCCGGCGCCGTATGACCGCGCAGCCGACCGGCCGGCGGGCCGCCCGGACGCGCATAAGGGATCTAATTTCTCAAAGTGGGCCTAGTTTTGACGCTCGCAACGTTCCACGTCGGATCATCGGAACCATGAGATTCGCCGCGTGGCAGGCCGGTCGGCGGATCCGAGCCTCAAATTTGCAGTACTAGCGACTAAATTTAATCAAGTTTGAGTTCGGCGCGCCGGAAAATTCGGAGTCCGGACACTGGCTACTCAGTAGCTAGCCTAGCTAGCCTAGCTAGGCTCGAGCCTAGCCCAGTGTCAGTGGCAGTGGCAGTGACTCGGCCGAGTCCGAAAATTCGACTTTGAACCTCCGAAAATCGGCGACGGCCGTAGATAATGCCACGCGACTCAATTCACGGTACCGATGATCCGACGTGGAACTTTGCGAGCGTCAAAACTAGGCCCAGCGCTCACCAAGCTCAGATTCCTTATGCGGCACTGAGAAGTGGTGTGTCGGCGCGCGACAATTTCGACCGGCGGCATCGAACTTCGAAACGATCCTACAATAACATCCGAGTCCCGACCATCCCCGCAAGCTACCGTGCCCTACGGTGTGCACCACCACCCACCCTTCCGGGATGCCGGCCAGCTTCAGAACTTGAACTTCAACTTGAAGTTCAAGTTCTCCTCATGGGGCGCACACATTTGGCACTTAAAAATGGCTCTTCCTCCAGCTCTGGGCATGTCCAGAACATGCTTTCTAATGGCGGTGCCAAGCCTAGTCGCTCCAAAGAGGCCTTGCAGGAAGGCGCCAAGCTTTTCAGCTCTCAAAACCACCAAAAATAGCTCCTATAAGCTGAGAGGAGCTTGTAGGGCCTACAGGCCTTGTTTTTGACGCTTTCAAGAGCTGGAAAAGGGAGCGCGTCCCAACGGGGCCTGTTCCTGGCGACCAGGCTTGACACCGCCGGATTTGGTGAAGGTTTGATACAAATTCCAGGTGGAGGAGCCACCATTTTGAGTGTTCAAGAACATGCGCTCCAGAGTCGCAGTTTGAATTTCACGATCTCGACGACCGTTGGCAAGTTATGCCACGTCAGCATTTTAGTTTGCCCGATTATATAAGTCTGGGTGGTGGTTTAAGTGCCTACAGAGCGGGGTCAAGGAGAATCAGTAATTTGGGGACCGAGGGCCGGGGATACTGTTGGAAGGGGTGACGTGGCGGGGTCTAGGGTTTTGACCTGAGGCTTCCCAATTATGATTGGTTCGAAAGAAGCCTAGCTCAGGGTTTCGCCCCTAAACCCCGCCACGTCAGCCCTTCCAACAGCATCTCCGGCCCCGGTCTCAAAAGTACTGATTCTCCTTGACCCCGCTCCTACAGGCTCTGGTCGGCACCAGCATACGGTCGGAGGGTAGAGAACCGGTGAATACTACCGGTCTAGGTTGCGCGACGAAGGTACGCAGGAGGCGTCGAAGTTGGAGCTAAGCATCTTCTACCACCGATCGGGGCCAGTCGACAGAATCGAACGGTTTATGATGACCGAGTCTGTCGCCTAAAATAAGCTGTCCGTACTGAGCCAATCACAGCAAAGCATATCTGAACGGTGAACCGAGGGAGTTCCCATTTCTGCTGCATTTGAGCCAGCACGCAGTCAACCTGTTCCTATAGGCCCAGGGCACAAGCAAAAGGTCTGGCTGCAACCACTGGCCGGGCACCTCGACGTGCCGAAGGAGAGAGCTCTGGCCGGCGCAATATCAGGGCACTCATGGCGGCTGCACATCAATGCGCTGCAGTGAGGCAGGGGCCTCAGCTCATCTGTAGCGCTTTGACGGTGGCAATATTGTTCACAAGTGCTGTCATAGCTATTGAAGTGCAAGAGGCCGGGAGTCTGACCGCGTTGGTTGGCAGCAAAGCTGCGCGACAGACCTACTTTGAGTGGAACTTGGGGTATGCGCTGTCCAACATCCAGCAGTATCTGGGCGATAAGGACCCCGTGACCGTCCTCGACTGGCAGAAGGTCTATCGTCAGCAGGCGACGCTGAACACGGCAGTTCTGGGGAGGGGCGGGCGGGCCAGCGATGGAGCCAATGGCACGCTGCGGTATATCATACAAGGGAGCTTGAACGGTTACGCGTATCGAGCGGACACCAACGCCACAGCAACCATGAACAAGGCGTTGCCAGCACGATTGAGTGGGGAGCCTTCTTACTTGGGTACGGGAATGATGCCCATTGTGTGTGCCCAGACACGGGTGGAGCCGGCAGCTACCAAGGGAGGCATTGAGTGCAACGTGCTCCTTGCCCAGGCCGTGGTGAAAGTGGGATTGCCGCCTGCAAACCCGGCCGACAACGCTTCATACTCCAGCGCGCAGCTCCTAGATTGTGGCAGCCAGTGTCAAAGCTTCAATGACTCTTTCCAACTTCAGAGTGCTGCGACAGGCATACACTTTCCCCTGAGCTACACTCAGCTCTATGTGGAGCAAGCAGCGCAGTTCAGCAGCTTGCCTATAGACACACAGAGTTTCATCGGGGAGCAGAACAACCCCCTCTCACTGGAAAACCTCCAGACAACGGCCACCCTCAACGCGTATGCCCCCTTGAATAACACCCCTGTTTGCTCGGGCACCACGAGCGTCGTCCCTTCGCTCTCTAGTTACATCTTGGGCGGGACAACTGCATTTTGCGCTAGGTGGAACGGGTTCCTCGTGGCGTTTGCCTGGCAGGGGAAGCTGCCAGAATTCAACAACATGGCGGAAGAGGACTGCGCGCAGCTCTATAGGGAGCCATATTGGGGTTATGTACCCTCAATCATATGATATTGATGGTACGAAACCCTTTCAGTTTATCTACGTCTTTCAACGCGACGAAGCCGGGGGAGCAGGCCATGAGCTGAGGTGTGCGTACAGCATGAGACAAACGGTCAGCCCTCGTTCGAACAACTTGAACTGGGCGCAGCTCTTCAGTCTGGGGGAGACACGGAACTTTATAACGAGCAACAATGACCCCGTGTGCAGCGCCAAGTCATACACCACCACGTTAGCAAGCGCAGCGCAGAACACGTTTGGGATGAGGTACACTGTGGGATATCTCTCCCCCGAGAGCGCCGCCGCAATCGCCGATCTAGCGTATCTCCACTTCTCGCCGCAGTCGATGTTGCAGCTGGATGGTTTAGTGCACGTGGCAAACTCAACCAAGATTATGGCGGACCCGAGGAGCGGGGACGCGTGCCTTTTGAAGCAGAGGGATCCTTCCGAAGGTATAGTGGGCGACGGCACCGTAAACCTAGGCAGCGACTTGGTGAAGAGTCTGCTGGCGCTCGCGATCCAATCTGCGTATGCCTCAAATCAGGGGTCCACAATCGCAGCTGCCAGAGCTCAGATCGTCGCCCTGCTGAGCCGTTTCACACTGAACTCCGCTCTCAGCAACGCAGTGGCGAGTATTGCAGCGGGCTACGGTGTGAATGCCTTCAAAAGCAGGCTTCCCTTTTTGTCGGACAACAAGTCGTGGGTAACCATTGTGGTCCGTCTTGCGGGGTCTCTCGTGGAGGCCCTTTCAGTAAACGTTGCGACTATCGCCTATCTGTGGGGTCTGGTCGCGCATCGGTATGAACACGCAACGGCTTCCTGGGTGCACACCTCTCTGAACCAAGTCGCGGCTTATGAGAGCTTCACGCTTTTGGCGTCGACAAAGGTGACACTGACCGGGCAGGTTCAGCGTTTCGAAATCCAGGTTGCAATCATTCTAGCGGCCATTCTCATCAGCTCCGCTCTGGTTATGTATAGATGGCACTTTGCGACCCAGGCTGCAGAGGACCGGAAGGGCAGTGTGTTTACTGGACTGGGGACCGGTTATCTGTAACAGCTTTTGCCTAACTTGTCCTCGATCGATTGGTAGTTTTGTGAACAGCGTACCGACTATATAATACACAGTACAGTAGAAAGAACACGTGTCTTCGGGGTAGGTACTCAAACTAAGTAGGTGATTGACGATGTCCCTAGGTCCTTGATTGCATCCTCGTAGTGCCAGTTCGGCTTGTACAGACGATTCGTTGTTCAATGAGCATCTCTGCATTGCACGAACTTACATGAGTGCTTAACTTCTATAGCTCTTGCATGCAACGGGAATTGTGTGCCTCCTGCCGGGCAACCCAAGCTCGACTGATTGGACATGTGACCTCTTTCCTCATTCATGGCAGAGGCAACTTAGAAAAGCATTCAATGAACTCAATGACAAGACGTGTATTGCACTGCCGGCGAATACAGCACGACTATCTTGAAACGCATGCATGGTAATTGATTGGGTTTCAGCTTCGGCCATTGAACGCGTATAGTCGCAAGCGTCGGCTGATATCGACAAACTCAATGCTCCATATCTGTTGGCAAGATTTGATTGTTATCATTTCTCGTTGTTATTTGAGTGCAGAAGCCAGGTACGACTTGACATCATGCATGATCATGTGCACCAGGCTCGAGTCGCTCATGCAGGATGCAGCCGCTGAGCATTACGGCATCAGCTGCGGGTCCCGATGAGACGTTACTTTGGGGCCTTACCGTACATCACGTACCATTATGAGACACGTGAAGCTGAGAGCGGTGATGTTCTCTCCCAGTTAGCGGACTGCTCTTTCCATCCGAACCGCAGTCAACATGCAAAGCGACCGTTATCGATCAAGGGCTGGGGCGTTAATCCAGATACTCACAATGTCGGACTCAGAGCCGTGCACAAGACTCGAGGTCAGTATTTTCTACACCGCAAGATGTTGGATCGGTCACGCAAGCACTTGTATGTACACACAGGGCCAGGTCACGATAGATACGCGCGTGCGGCCATGAAAAATGAAAAGTCAAAGGCTAACTGTATTTACAGGTCCTTCAAGATTCCCATTGTGCGCACCCGGAGTCATTAGACAGATCGGTTCGATCGGTACGTCTGGAACTTTCCGTTGATCCAAAAACGTCGAACGCTTTAGCACGTCTGATTGCTCAGAAAAAGCACGAAAGAGCTAGCTATGATATACTGATGATGGAACACTTGAACTCGCGGCTGGTAATATGGTCCCTCCGGCATCGCATTCGCCCAAATTTTTTGTGAGTGCACTTACCAAAGGGAACTTTATGCAATACATTGCCGCCAGGCACGTCCGCCTGTTGCGCGGTATAAATCGATCACTCAACGGACGCATGAGCATTCGGAGTGACAGCGTATGCCCGTTGCGAATACAAACTGATCTGTTTTTTCAGAGGGGACGGACGTGCAATCTACGCTTGGAAACGAAACAATAGATCCGAAACTTGACTGCAATCGCCAGAATCATGAAGCTTCTGACCAGATTCGAAACACTTTCGTTAGTGTGCGTGTGAATGCTTATGCGCTCCTCTTATCCCAGTAAAGCCAGTCTTTTCAGATATAACCTAATCGCATATACGACCAGAGCAATGCGACCACATAAAATTACCGATGAGCCCATCGCAATCGACAACGAGCTACGTCGGATCAAACGAAACTCGAATTCCGCTTCTCCGACCTTTGAACTTTAAAGTTTCTTGATGACCTTTCTCGTTGTCGAGTACGGACTGGTTGGCACAGTTGTCGGAATCAGGCAACCTAGTTGCTGCACTGACAAAAGAAACCCACTCTAGCTCCTGATCATGTTACACTCGCTTTTTAGTCAGCGACATAGCTACCTTTGACTAACTTTTTCCTTGGGAACAGGTAAACAGAAACTTACACACAATGGCGGTGAGGCAGTCGAACAAATCTCAAATGACAGTCTATCTATCGCCCATTAGTAGTCTGCACAATATCTCCAGTAACTCAATCGTTCTCAAAGGATGACAACTGTGGCTTGCGTTCTTTAACCGTTGCGCTTGCAATAAAAAGCTCATTGATTTGTTGGTCACGCACTCGCGGCCCATTCCAATAACTCGGGTCTCTGCTCCAGTTGCCCCTCTTCAGGCGAGCACTCTCTGCAACACTTTCTGCCACACTGCCCGGTCCCCTTCCCCGGGCAGCCCTAACGTCAGCACCCCCCTCTCCTGCGTCGCCAGGTTCACCTGCGCCTCGCCCCGGTTCTTTGTCCCCCGGTCAGCACACAAAGACGCCCCCTGCAGCAGAAGTAGTTTTGATAACTGAAGATACACGCAGCTGGGTTGAGACGAGTTACAGTACGTGCTCAGGGAATCGGTTGTTTTAGTGGGGGGTATTAAGCTGGGCACATGTTGCAGTACCGAGCTTGTATTTATCCAATTCAGTGCGGTCTCCAGTTGTAATTGTGTATCTGGCACAGCTGAATCTCTTCCTGGGGTGGCGAAGAAGAAACCGGAGTGGAAACTTACCTGCAGTGAAATTGCGCCCCGGAACGTTCCAGCCGGGGCCCACTCCAAGCCCCACTTTGTGACCGGGGGATTCCCCCCGGGCACGACTGACGACGCGCTTTCGGCCAGCTTGCACAGCCGCACGAGGCGCCGGTACGGCTTCCCGTTCCGCCCGTACTTAATGCAGACCGTCCCCTGGGTGACACGTGTCAGCATGTGGGCGGCTTCGGCGGTCGCGGCTGCGGCACGTGCCTCGTCGAGGGAGGTTTTGAGGCCTTGCTCGCGCGCGTGCGATGCGTCCAACTCTTTTTGGAGCGCAAGCTCGTGGTCCTGGCTGGAGGCCAACTGGAGAAAAGCAGAATCCGAGATGTGGGAGACAGCCGCCTACGGATTCTACACTTTTCGCATTTCAGTCATCGACTAAAGTCAGCTTTTTTTCATAAGTGCGCATAGGACGTGCGCGTCGACTTTGGCAATTCACGGTGCTGCGTCGTCTCCAAACTGGTCGTACTTTCTGGTCTGTGTGAAATACCATAAACCCAAAAGCGTTTGTTTCCCGAGCTCTGACTTCCGACGCCCACCTTGGATGGAAACGAAGATAGGTTTACAGACCTGCGTATTCTATCTGCTCCCACAAATCTCCTCTCAAACAAGAGTCCACACAATTCACCTCCGCTTACTTTCTTGAGCGTATGAAAGATGTCGATCTTTTATCCGGTTCGCAGGATAATTGCGGAAGAAAGGCTTGCGACCTTTTTCTACATTTCTTCTTGGTTGTCTGCCGGCTTTTCAGAGGCCACCCCGAGAAAGAATTGAGTTGAGATATAAGAACCATCAGTTCCGCGGACGATTGCGGCAGTGGAAAGATTCGAAGCCCTCACAAAGAACCGACCTTCCCCACGATAAGGGTTCTGACAGAGCGGAAAGGGGGGCCTCGACCCATCTCCGCACTGCGAATCTGAGAGATGAAGTCACGCTGCACACCCCCAGATTGACCTGAACCCTTAATGCGAGGGATTCACTAAGAGAGGTCTTTTGTAGTCCGCTGGAATTTTCCATTGGCCACCCGTTCCCAGTTGCAAGCGACTAACTTTCTTGACCCTCCAACTACATGTCTTGACCCTCCAACGCGAATCTGAGGGCGACCAAACAGACGGTGGCGTTACCTGCAGAAGCGCCCCCGCGTGGCTGGCGCGCAGGTCGGTGGTCTGCTCCTCCAGCTTGTGCGCGCGCGTGACGTACTCCGCGGCGTCACTCGACGCGGCCTCCAACGCGGCCGCGCGCTTCTCCGACGCCGCGAGCTGCGCGAGCGAGGGGTTTGCGAAAGGGTTTAGCACTTCACCGTCTGTTGCGGTGGACGGCCGAGTCGAACCGTTCCCAAAAACTCGATTTTTTTCTGGCACGAATTTCGTCTGAGGAATCAGGATTGGATCTTATCTTAACACGGCCCTGACCCCATGTACTCAATCAAGCCCCATGCTTCGGTACGGGCTTTAAAATGTGATGTATGTATGTATCTCGTCAAAAAAGGAATTTGAAGTTTCAAAGTCTTGCAGCTCTTTTTTATAAGAGCGTAGCTTTCAGACCGAAACAAAAGCTTATTCTGGGACGTCGTCTGCGAATACAAAGCGTGCGATTTTTGAACCCGCAATATGAGTGACGATGTAGAGAGCGTCCACACCTCTAACGTTCCGACCTTTCTTGTCGAAAATCAACCCTTGCAGCGGGAATCTTGTTGCGAACGCGGTTTTAAATTGTTGAAGTCTAAACATCTGACGCCAAAAGCGTTTCAGATCGCGACATAGTGGTCAAAAACCGCGCTTCTCATTGGCGCTTGGCGCCCGCTTCTTCAAATGGCGGTCTTGGGCTGATCTCTTCCAGGGGCGCGGACCTCACCTTCTTCTCGAGGGCCTTTGACTTGCTCTTCCAGTCGTTACTGAGCTCTTCGGACGTCCGGAAGGCTTCGCTCAGCTCCTGAACGCGCGCCTGTAAGGAATGTCAATTGTACGATCGCTCCCGGGGATCAGATACACGAAACCGCTAGTCGAACTAGAGCGATACGAAGGGGCTTGATGAAACGCTTCCTGAAAGCTACGCCGAGTCTGAGGACCACATTTGGAAGAGGCTGACGGGTCCGATGAGGTGACGAAGTAAAAGGAAGAGAGCACGATATGGTAATGGCTTTCTGTGCATGCAGCTGGACGAAAGACGGATCAAACCCAGACTGCGCTTGCGTTTATGCCAACCGTTCTGTCCGTCAACAGACAATCATTGATGAAGTGAAGGCAGCTTCCAAGGTTGGTCGAGTGGTTCAAAACGTTATTCGGCCGAACCAATCGTCATTCAGTTTGTTAAGCAAGCGGGTTTTCGCTCATTCGCTCCGGGGCCTGTGACTTTGGAGCAGATCGCGGCCGAATTCATCAAGATCAGCACATTTTTGTGAAAGCATTTAAAGCTCCGACGTCATCCGGGAACGGGGGCGCCAAAACTTTGATAAAATTTCAATTTTGGTATCGTAAGCTCCAAAATACAGTCAGCTTCTCAGCCTGCGACGGGTAAACTTACTTTGGGCGTTTGGATGGGAATGGGTGCGGAGGGGGTGTTTCCAAGGACTACGTTTTCAGTTTGATGTAATATCTTTTCAATCTGGAGCTTACTTTACCCGGAACTGAAGAGACGTCCGAAAAGGTTCGCAAAAAACGAGCGACGGCCCACCTGCAACTCTCCCTCTTTCTTGGCGGCGGCCTGCGCCTCGCCTTGCGCCTTCTCGCACGCGATGCGACTCGCGTCCACTTCGGCCTCCAGCTCAGTGCACCACTGCAGAAACAAATAAGGCACAAAGACGACATCAGTTCTGTTATGCAAAGCCTTTGGAGGCGGAGATGGTCGGCCACAGCACAGCCAGCAAAAGCCGCTAAGGCGTTGGAGGCACTGGCGTGCCCTGCTGTGTTTCACACAGCTATAAAGGCATGCCTTTTCTTCTTTCCGAGCACGTTGCCCGTCTGAAACTGAGTCCAGGAGATCAACCATTCACGAGCTGACGCAGATCACAAGTGGGTCTTATGCCAAATTCCATGTGCGGAAACTTAAATATTTTTGTTCGCAAAAACTAAAACGGATAAAGCAGATACTGAGGCTGGTGAGAACAAGACTCATCAATACGCGGGCTCATCATTTCGTACACAGTCTTTCGGATTTGCGAGATTACCTTGGTTGAGCTGTTGGACGCCCCCGCTTTCTTTTTTGTTTCAATCAATGAGTGTAAAGGCCGCCGCTTTCGCAGTGGGCCTTTCCACGCTCCTCACCTTCTCCAGCCGCTGGTTCTCTTCTTGCACCGCTATGCATCGGGTCTCCGCTGCGGCTCGCCGTTCGTCCTGTAGAATTGATACCGGACCTGGTCTAAAGCTAGATAACTAGGCGACGCTCGCAGGGAAACTAGCTAGCAAAAGCCCTCGTCTCAAGTACACGCTTCGCTTTCTAGGTACCATAAAGCATTGTCACTGCCATCAAACCGCATGGCACATCTTTACACACAAAAAACACGATTCGATTCGGTCCCGGACCATCCTGTAAGAACAGGCTGTCCCTTTTGCCGCGTCTCCCAAAACTACCGTGGTGAGGGTCTGGAGAAAGACGAAGCTAAGAAGTGGATCCTTAAATGCTGCGTCCTTTCTGGTCGCCCTCTTTTGCCTTGTCCTTACCGAGCTCGTACTAGCCTGCTGGGCGACCTCCGCCTCCTTCGCATGCAGCGCCGCAGTCTCGGCCATCGCGTTATACCTGCACGTTGGGACTTCAGTGTTGCAGCGGTTTTTCTCGTTGTTTTGAGGTTTGGTAAGCCGTTGTCTAGTAACAGGAACGAGTTTGGTAAACGGGGATCGCGACTAGCCGTTGTAAGTACACCCGGTAGAGCCTAGAATAGCTATAGTGGCAGGTTGTACTGCGCGGAACAAGCGCCGACTGGGGTGGATCAACAAGGGCAGGATATGTTTGATCTCTTCTATAAAGCGACGAGATTCACATATGCTCCGACAGAACATGTGGAAGGTGCAACGTGAGCATCGCAGCCCACGTTGAGGGACGCACATCGATCAGCATTATCTTAGAAATAGTCGCCACGGGAACAAATTTCGCTGTTTTAAGATGTAGAGGAAAAGCAAGACGTAAGCAGAATGAGCCGGCAATTCTAACCCACCTTTCCTGCCACTCCGCACAGCGCCCCTCTTCTTCTCTCAGCGCGCGCCTCAAGTGCTCCACTGTCTCAGTTAGCCGCCGGAGCTGCGCTTCTGCGGCCGTGGCGCGCTCCTCCGCGGCCGTGGTGCGCTTCTCCGCGGCCGCTTGCAGTTGCTCGGCAACAGTGGCGCGCTCCTCGGCCTCTCGCGCTCGCGCATCTGCGGCTTTTGCGCGCGCTTCCTGAACCTTGGCGCGCTCGCTCTGCACGCAAGAGCTTCTCAAATGATTACGAAACGAGAATCCAAAGTCTTATGAAATGTAAAGTGCTCTCAATCTATTGCAACTTTATCTATATACCGAAAAAGCTATAATTGATAGCCTATTGTTATCACCCTCTATTGTCAACCCATCAATTGCTAGCAATTTCAGTGTACAGATGAAAGCGGGCCACTCTTAGTCTTGCGATTGACAAAACGCATGGCAAACGATTGAACGTTCCCGTTAAGTGACATGCTTCGGATCTTAACTGTCGGGTAAAATCGGTGTGTCAGACATCTGGCAATTGTGGGAGTAGCATTCTGAGTCCCCTGATTCCGGATGCAGAGCAGATGTTGTCTGTTGCGTCCAACTCGGCTTGGCAGAGGATCGGAATGAGTGAAGAGGGGAGACAGCGCACCATCTTCGCCTCCGCTTCCTCTGCCCTTCGCGCGCGCTCACGCAGTTCCACTCCGTTCTCACGCTCCGCCTGATACAGATTTTGGCAGTCCAGTTTGTAATGAGAGGTTTTTGAGGGGTTCCAGAGACGCTAAGTCTTTTCAAGATCCCTGTTGCATCATGCTAAAAATGGTACGAGATAAGTCTGGGTGGTTGAGGACAATACCTGCTCAAGCATGAACGGCATGAGCTCAAGATGCATTACTATCTCAAAATCCTCAACCTGAAAGTCTAACGAATCTGGGGTCGAGCAAAATCGTGCGCGAATGACCTTTATGCATGAAAAGGCGCGGCGCTAGATGTGGTCGGAAAGTGCCCCACAAGAGTACGCAACGGGATCCTCACCTTGATGAGCGACTTGAATTTCTTGATCTCCAGATTTGCCTCGCCTCTCGCCTGCGAGGACGTGCTTCACTCGTTCAAGCGCGCGTCTTAGTAACTTGAGCTTTGCCCGTGCGCATAAGAAGCAGATAACGTGAGCTTTGGATATGTGTTCATGAGCAAGGTTTCCCGCTCGAGGAAAGAAGGCAAGCGAAAACACTCACAACCAACGAATCCAATCAAGCGGAAGCACAAGCCGCAGTCCGCTGGCGGAAGAGGGCGAAGGCGAGCGGAACGAGATCATCAGGAACGTCACCTTGTGGCCTTCCTTGAGCTGGCCTTCCAGCACCGCCACGCGCTCGCTGTTCGCAAAGATGGCGGAATCCTGCACAGATTGACGCAGGCGTTTCGTTGACAAGCAGTCGATTGAAATGAAGCATTGAAAGACTCCGATTCCTCAGGAGTCTCCCTGAGACGTCGAATCCTCAATCACGACGCACGTGATCAATCACCCACAGCTCCTGCAAGTCACGAAACCACAAGCCCACACACCCATAAGGCCAGATCCAATGTCCCAGTTTTCGCGCAGAGGTTCCGGTGCGCCTACTCATTTCAGGATCATAGGACGGCCATTGGTTTCACGTGAAGCTTGGGTTTCTGAAGCTTTGCACGAGCGCCTCCGCTTCCAGGAAAACGGTGCCCCGGTTCTGCCCAAGGATCTTAGAGTGGTCATGATTCAAAACAACAGACCCTCAGATCTTTTGAGCCCACCCAATCGAAACGTCTGCGCGAGGTCCTGCGCGAGCGCCTCGCCAAAAAGACGGGTTGAACGGGTTTGCTCGTCCAAAAAGACGGTGCCCCGGTTCTGCCAGCGACTCCGACAATACCAAAAGATCTCATCACAGTAGTTGGTAAGAAACTCAAAAGCCACTCACCCGAAACGTCTGCGCGCGGTCCTGCGCGAGCGCCTCCGCGGCCAAAAGACGGTGCCCCGATTCCTGCCAACGAGTCTGACAATACCAAAAGAGCTCATCAAAGTAGCTAGTAAAAGATTCAAAAGCCACTCACCCGAAACGTCTGCGCGAGGTCCTGCGCGAGCGCCTCCGCGTCCAGGAAGACGGTGCCCCGGTTCTGTTCCGGCGCGACCCGCACGCCCATGGCCCGGCTGCCCAGCTCCAGGCTGCCAAGCGACTCGGGGGCGTCGTCCAGGGACGGGGAGACGCACACCAGCAGACTGGTCGGGCAACGGCCGCCCACGCACTTCTCCTGTTTGTGGAGGAATGAGTCTACATTCAGCGGGATAATCGATTCGACTGGCATTGTGGGATCTGGGAGAGTCGAGGACGGGGAGACGCACACCAAAAGACTGGTCGGGCAACGGCCGCCCACACTTTTCCTGTTTGTGGAAGAGTGTGCAATCAGCGGAGAAATGACCGAGTCCAGTGGCTTCTAATGGTTTGGGATTTTTGATCAAGACGAGAAGATGGACACCAAAAGACTGGTCGGGCAACGGCCGCCCACGCACTTCTCCTGAGGAAATAGGAGGACAACAAACTTTGTAAGCACAGAGTTTGTTCGCAAAACGCTGTATCCGTTACGTTCTACAAATCTGCTTTTTAGATCTGACAAAGACAGCAAAGTTGAGTATTTTCAGAGGTTTGAACGGAGAAGAAGCTCAAAAAGATTTGAAGGACGTAAGTAGAGGAAAGAAGTCGGGCACAGCGGGAAGCTCGGCTGAAAAGCATGCAAGGCGGTCGAGTTTTGGCGAAAAGGAGGCGCATAACGACAACGTACAACCAGGCAAACCCTCTGAATACTGAGAGCAAAGTACGGTCCGCTTTCATTTGCTTTGATTCTTGGGAGCAAAACGCTTACCAGGAGGCGGGTGAGCTTGGAGTCCCGGAAGGGCACGTGCTTCTGACGTGCCGCCAGGGCGCTCACCTGCGACAGAGCAAATCACATCCGTCCTATAAGTTGGACTGTGAAACGGTTTCAAATGTATGAACGGCTCTGAGAGAAGCCGCGCGCCACTATGCTTCCGAGACCGGCCTACCAGATTCAAAGAGGAAGTCCTTCTGCCTAACCTCCAAACGGAAGCAATTCTCCTAAAATTTGGTAGGACAAATCTGTCCAACGGGTGCGATGCGTGCAAAATTTCGTCACCAGTTGCCCAAACTTGGTCAGAAACTGAGGAGATTTTCTTCTGAAAGTATAACGTCGGATGTGTGACCAGCCTCGATTCTTGCTTGCCGCATAGTGCGCTCCCCAAAGGATTTTCATCGCCTTTCAGTGCGCACTTGATTTGCAGAGCCGAACGTAACGAGCGGGAGGTACTGATGAGAGAACCAGAGGACGAATTGAGTTCTGTTACTCGTCAGCCGCTGAGACGGAACCAGATACCCACATTTTGAACTAGAGCAAGAAGGTGTGTTGGTGCAAGACTACATCAAGAACTGGAAGTCTGGGTTCGCGCTTTACCACAGCTGCCGAATCGGGTGCGCATTCTCACCACGTTGCCAAAGCAGAGCAGCGAGGTGTTGATGTTCATGGCCTCCTTCATGCGCAGGCCCTCGCTGCCCGCGCGCTTCACGCGCTCGCTGCCCGCCATGTCCACCACCAGCAGCTGCGCGCTGCGCACCTCGCACTCCACCTGTGATAGGGGGGTAAAAAACCGTCGAAAATTAGGGGGGGTGTCCGAAGATTTGAATCTGGGGGGTTTTACAAGTTGGTTTTGGAAGGGGGTGAGAGGAATCTACTGCGGCCGGCAAAGCTGCCCGGCCATTTCCACCACCAACAGCTGCGCGCTGCGCACCTCGCATTCCACCTGTGGTACGGGGGTGAAAACAGGGGCACAG